TACCAATACAGAGTACTACCCTTTTGGACTCTCTACAACCCCTCGAGTATTCTCCAAAGTCCTTGCGGTAGCGGCAGCCTACCTATGCAAACAAGGCATCGTGATAGTCCCATACTTAGACTACTGTCTCCTCAAGGCTCCCTCCAAACCCAATGCAGTTCATGCCATACAAAAGTTGATGCACCTTTTCTCGAACATCGGCCTTCAAATAAAAATACAAAAATCGACACTCACTGGTACAACATCTGGAGTTTATTGGGGAACATCTGGATGCGATACAGGCCAGAGCCTGCCTTCCAGCTCACAGAACACGCCAGGTTTTGCACACACTGTCTGCAAGCGTGACTATGTGTAGTGTATCTACCTCACAGAAACCGTCTTCACAAACTTATCCATGTCTATCAAGATCAAGGACTCACTACACTGGTGGACACAACCCCAAAACGTCTGTATGGGGTCCCTTTTCTCCAACCAGCACAGTCCCTGATTCTAACAACCAACGCCTCCCTAAGTGGTTGGGAAGCATGCCTTAAGACCCACACAATGCAGGGAATGTAGTCCCCCGCAGAATCCTCCATGCACATCAACCTTTTAGAACTGCGAACGGTTCGCAATGGGTGCCAACGTTTCCTACCCCTGATCAGACCATAAAAGTAATGACCAACAATATCGCTTGCATGTTCTACATCAACAGACAAGGCGGAACAAGATCCCGCTCCCTATGCTGGGAAGCACTGGAATAGTGGAACTGGTATATTCAATATGACATCAACGTTTTGGCCACACATCTTCCTGGACAACAGAACACCGTGGCAGACTTCCCTAGAGGACGATTCTCACAAGACCACGAGTGGGAACTAGAGATGAGTCCTTCAGCACACATACAGCCACTAGGGATTTCCCCACATAGATATCTTTTTGCCACAGCAGAGAACGCCAAATGCTCTCAAGTCTTCTCATGAGTGGGTCTAGCCATGGGTCTCTGGGAAATGCTTTTCTTATTATATGGGATGCTCCACTATTCTACACCTTTCCACTTCTTGTTCAAGGTACTTCATAAAATACAGGTGGAATGAGCCAGAGTCATCCTCGTAGTTCCAACATGGCCACGACAAATTTGGTATCCTTACCTCCTATAAATGACAGTATGTTCTCCGATCACCCTGCAATTGATTCTGTACCTCCTTTCTCAGGATGCGGGCCGAATCATCCAGCCCAATCTGTCTCCTTCATCTGAAGGCATGGCTTCTTCCTGGTTCTGGGATTCAGAAATGACCTGTTGAGAGGCAGCAAAAGAGGTTCTCTTAAATAGCAGACGTGACATAACTTGCCGTACTTACTTCCAAAAATGGGAAAAATTCAGATCCTGGTGCACAGCCAATCATGTCTCAGCAATGAACACCCTGTTACTCATTCTAGATTAGAGGCCTGACCTTTTAAAGATCTAGACTGTCTACAAGCTCCGTTTGTACACACTTAGCTGCCATCCCAGCATTCCAGCCCAAAATAGATGGTTATTCTGTATTCACCCACCTGCTCATGAAGAGAGTCCTTAAAGGCTTTTTGCACTTTTACCCTCATGTACAGGATCCCAACCTCACCTTGCGCTGTCTCATCAGACCACCGTTTGAGCCCATGGCAATGTGCTCTTACATTCATTTTTCCATGAAAACAGTATTTCTCGTAGCATTTGTGCCTGAGGAGTAGGAGAAATAGGGGCTCTCATGGCATACCCGCCGTATACATTTTTTCATAGGGACAAGGTCACATTATGCATCCACCCAAAACTCCTACCCAAGGTGCTCTCCTCCTTCCATTTGAACCAACTTATCCACCTTCCCTGCTTCTTCCCAAAGCCACATACCAACCAAGATGAAGCGACACTACACACCTTGGACGTTAGGTGAGCATTAGCCTTTTACCTTGATAGAATTAAATTTTCAGATGATCGCCATGCTTATTCCTCTCAACTGCCAAACAATTGAAGGGAGTGGCTGTATCCAAACAACGCCTTTTCAAATGGATCTCACAGTTCATACACCTTTTGTTATCAACTGCACAACCACCTGCCTCCACCTGGAACTCGAGCGTATTCCACTCGCTCTCCACCTCGATTGCCTTTCTCAACAATGGCTGATCATTGACATTTGCAAAGCGACCACCTGCAATTACCCATGCTGCAGTTTCAGATGCCGTTATTGGACGCCACTCTGAAGCCCCAGCCTTCCTTGTAGGGGCACTGGTCTACAGTTACCTACAGTGGAGCGTCCATAGGGATACTACTCAAAGAAGAGGTTACTCATCATGTGCAGTAACTGATGTCTTCGAGATGTGTGTCCCTGTTGGTGCTCCACTACTTGCCCTCCTCCCCTCTGCTTTGGAGCTGAAAGGTAAGCTCTGTGATAAAGAAGGAACTGAGGGCGGTTGGGCCAGACAGCGCTATATATCGATGCCCCCCCGGTGCGAGACTGGGAGGAGCACATGTGTGGTCCAATGGGCACTGCTACCGAAGATCTCCGATCCCAGGCGCAGGAGGCACTGCTGCACCTACAGTGGAGCACTCATAGGGACACTACTCAAAGTAGAAGTAGCCCTTCTGCTCTGTCCTCCTGCCTTGGTTTTTTTTTTTTTTTTTGTTCTCCTTCCTGCCCCCTCATGCCATCTTATGAGAGTCAGAATGTTCTGACAGAAGAAAAGAGTATCAGACTGTCACCCTTGCAGCAGTCAAGAGGCTCTGGTTGAGGAAGGCAAGGGAAAAAGGCAAAGCTCCTCTCTTCTGGCAGCTAAAGGATCTACAAATTCAACATAAACCTACTACCCAGAGGTTATGAACCATGGTGCACCCAAGCAAGATCTAGGGACAGAATCCTGAAAGAAATGGCAGCATGCACATATACCTCCACATCTTGAAGAACATCAGTTACTGCATATGGCGAGTAACCTTCTCTTCTCATACAACTGTGTGGTTGGTTTTTTTTTTTTGTTTTTTTTTTAATTCTTTTCCTTGCAAATAAGTCCAGTCTTCCTCTGCTCCTGGCCATAGCTTTTTTGAGTAGCAGGAAATTGGCATGACTTTTGGCAGTTTCCTTGGTGCTCCCAAGATTCTGAACAGGAATAATGAAACTGAGTTACCTAATTTCTTTGCTGCTTCTTGGCAGACTTATGAGCAGCAGCAGAGGTACTGGAATTTTGTCTGCAGATACAGGAAGAATACCACTGCATTGATTCACAGTGAGAAGGTTAACGTTACAACCATAAAAGCTAGTAGCAATTTAAAATATGGTTAGCTTCAGAAATTGATGACATAGGTCCCCATATTCACTAGGGATATTTTCTTACTTCCCTGTGATGAGGGGTAAGAGAATTTTTCAAGGTTTGCCTTCTGTATCAGTGTGTGTGTGTGTGTGTGTGTGTGTGTGTGTGTGTGTGTGTGTGTGTGTGTGCTGTCACAACTACAATTTAATCATTTGCAATATGAGACAAACTTCATATCATATTCACTTTCCTTACATCATACAGTGCAGATATCAGAATAATAAAAGGCTAGACTGCTTCCCCTTTTTTTTTTTTTTTTTTTTTTTTTTTTTTTTTTTTTTTTTTTTT